GTGAGCAGAGATCACACCACTGCACTCCAGCCTAGGTGACAAGGTGACACTCTGTCTCCAAAAAAGAAAAAAGAAAAAGAAAAAAAAAGTGTTCAGAGAGTTGGGCATGTTGGCTCATGCCTGTAATCCCAGCACTTTGGTAGGCCGAGGCAGGTGAATTACCTGAGCTCAGGAGTTCAAAAACACCCAGGGCAACATGGTGAAGCCTTGTCTCTACTAAAATGCCAAAAAATTGAGCTGGGCACAGTGGCTCATGCCTGTAATCCCAGCACTTTGGGAGGCTGAGGTGGGCGGATCATGAGGTCAAGAGATCAAGACCATCTTTGGCCAACATGATAAAACCCTGTCTTTACTAAAAATACAAAAATTAGCTGGGTGTGTGGTGCATGCCTGTAATCCCAGATACTCTGGAGGCTGAGGCAGGAAAATTGCTTCAACACAGGAGGCGGAGGTTGCAGTGAGCCAAGAGATCATGCCACTGCATTCTAGCCTGGGTGACAAAGTAACACTCTCTCTCAAAAAAAAAAAAAAAAAAAAAAGGCCAGGCATAGTGACACGTGTCTGTATCACAGCTACTCAAGAGGCTGAGGCAGGAGAATCCCTCAAGCCCAGGAGACAGAGGTTGCGGTGAGCCGAGATCGTGCCACTGCACTCCATCTTGGGTGACAGAATGAGACTGTCTCAAGAAAAAAAAAAAAAAAGATCAGAGATTTGATTTAGCCCCAGTCAAGCTGTTTCTTCTTTACATGCACAGATCTGTTCTCTATTCAGAACAATGCTGGCTTCCACATGTGCTTTTGTTGCTGATCTGCCATGGAAGGAGAATAATGAATGTCTCCCAAAGGGCCTCTTTGTCTTTAGTGACTCTATTTAGCAGCTGTCTCACCTGAACTGCAGCAAGGATTTAGAAATGTTTCAAGGTACAAGGGTTCAGTCCCATCACGCCCTGGCCATGAAGCACTCACTGTGCTAGGGAACAAACTTGGGAGAGTGCTGAGACACGGTGCCCGCGAGGAGAGACAGGAAATAGGATGACAATGGTGAGAATCGAGTAACATTTTCCCACCCCAGACTCCAACCCTATGACAACAAATTAATTTTGAATCTCAAAAAGATGAGGAATTATGCAGAAGCAGAAGAGAGAGCTTGAGCAAAGCTGGGCACATGTGTGCTGATTTAGAGCCTGAGAGGCAGAGTTGGAGAAAAGGTCCTGCAATTCTGCTCTTAAATATATACGCTGTAGAAAGAAACCTTAAAAACCTACCCCCAAAGAGTACTGTATATTATTTCTGTGTGTGTGTGTGTGTGTGTGTGTGTGTGTGTGTGTGTGTGTGTATAACTTTAATGAACAAGAAAGATAAATTCTAACCTTATGATATCAGCTGCCTCTGGAAAGGAAGAGAAATAAAACAACGTGATAGAAGGATGGAGACTTAGCTATACTGCAACATTTTATTTCAAAAGAAGGAAGGGAGGAAAGAAAAGAGGGAGCGAGGGATAAAGGAAGAAAAAAAGAGAACCAATGCTAATATGACAAAATAGTACCTCTTAAATCTGGGTAGTTGGTATGTGAGTGTAAATTTTTTTTTTTTTGCAGTTTTCCTGTATGTTCAAACTATTATTCCTTTTTTAAAAAATAAAATAAAAACAATGGTGCCAGGTGGGAGTACACCTGTAATCCCACCACTTTGGGAGGCCAAGGCAGGCAGATCACTTGAAGTCAGGAGCTTGAGACCAGCCTGGCCAACATGGTGAAACCATGTCTCTACTAAAAATATAGAAATTAGCTGGGCGTGGTAGGACATGCTTGTAATCCTAGCTACTCAGGAGGCTGAGGCACAAGAATCACTTGAACCCAGGAGGCAGAGGCTGCAGTGAGCTGAGATTGAGCCATTGTACTCTCAGCCTGGGCAGCAGAGTGAGACTCTGTCTCAAAAAAAAAAAAAAAAAAAAAAAAAGATGGACAGTTCACCAGCAAAGGGATTTTACCCTCTCTAGGGTGATGCCTATTCTATAGGAACTTCCTGGGTTTAATGACTGAGATACAGGTAAGTATATTCTAGAATTAAATGCTAATACTCACCTCCCCTCATCCCCACACAAACTACTACTCCTTGCTATTATATACATGCTTCACCTTGGTCTCTGCCAGGTAACACTAGCCCCAGGAGACAGAATAAGAGGGAAAGGGGGAAAAACATGAAACCAAACCCTTGTAAGACATGAAGAAACACTTACTCTGTTACAGCCCACTTTGGAATGCTCTGCGTTTCTATCACCTCGAGCATTCCGATTCATTCTGAGCATCTCCTCCAGATACAAGTCATTTTGCCAGCCGACAGGAGGAACAATTACTGCTGGCTTAAAAGATTGGTTGATTTCTCTGGCGTCTATTTGCCTGCAGTCTGGCTCTCTGACAAATCATGTTAGATCAATTTGTACCCTAAAACATAAATGGGAGGATGTGATTATTTTCTGGTTCAATAGAGAAGCATTTGATTTCAAAGGGCTGCTGCATAGCATTTTGGAGAGTCACAAGAAATGAGTTAGGTCCCTAGAGAACAAATGATGGGTTCTCAGGAGAACAGCTGGCTTCACTTCTCACCTATGCTTTGGGAACTGAGGCAGGACATGGGGAAGAACGGAAAGCAGTCTCCACTGAAAGAAGGATCTACACATCCCATGTCTAAGGAATATTTTGTCTCTTCAGAAGCAGGGAGTCTTCTAAAGCTAGAAAGCAGGCTAAAAATTCAGGAAGATGGAAACCTAATTCTACTGGTGACCACATCAAGATCTAGAAAATCACTTCTGAAAAGGAACCAAAAAGCAGAAATAAACTTCTGACCAAGAGGGAAACAGAGGTGAGAAAATCAGTTTGTTCCTTGACACTGTGATGCCCTTTACCAACAGATTTGTCTGCTGAGACACAGCACTGCAGGAGAGGCTGCAGGAGAAAAGTCCTTGGTGGGTGCCAGCCTCCCTTTACTGAGGCTGCACCTCTGGAATCTGCCTTCTGAGATGCAGTCTAACCATTGAACTCAATCTTCAGGGTCAGGTCCACCCCCATTCCTCTAAGCCACAGACATTACAGTTGACACGCAAGAGCTGCAATAATGTCATGGAAACACATGGGCTTTGGGGACAGGCTGCTCGGGTTCATTCTCAGCTCTGTGGTTTATAAGTTTTAAGACCTTGACAAACCACTTAAGCTTCAATTTCCCCAGCTGTAAAACAAGAACAGTCCTAGTACCTTCCTCACAGGGTGGTTATTAAAGGACAAGATGGATACAAAGCTCTTAATGCAGCACCTGGTACGGACTGAGCATTCCACAGGCGTTCCTGATGATTGCTGTTATTGTCTTCTGCCCTGAAAATGTGATGCTATTTGGTTCCCTATAAAAGACCCAGAGATTTTTAAATTCAAATTTAGTGGGAATATGTCCATTACATGAACATCAATGGTGGGCCTTATCCTTAGAGGTGAACTAAAGGCTTTCTCCAAGTCATTCCCCTGTATCATGAAATTGGCATCCTTCCCTACACTAATCTTTATGGCAATCGTATTACTCTTGCTCCCATCTCTACAACACTCTACATGAGGTAAATGTGTTCATGAGCATCATAGTGCAGCAAAGGCCAAGAAGTCAGAAAGCGAGAGTTTTGGCTCTTTCCATGGCAACAACCAGTTGTGTGAGTGTGCGTGATTTATTTATCATTTCTGCCTTTTGATTTTTTCACCTATAAAGTGAGGATCATTTTTCATGCTCTATTTGCTTCACCAGGCTATGAAAAACTGAAAAAGGGAATGTGAGGGAATAGACCAATGAAACAGAACAGAGATCCCAGAATAAATCCACACGCTTGCAGCCAACTCATTTCCAACAAAGGTGGCAAGAACATCCTGTGGGGAAAGGACAGTCTCTTTAATAAATGGTGCTAGGAAAACTGAAAAGTACATGCAAAAGAATGAAGCTAGATCCCCACCTTTCACCATGTATGTAAGTCAACTCAAAATGGATTGAAGGCTAAAATGTAAGACCTGAAACTATAAAACTCCTAGAAGAAAACATTGGGGAACTGCTCCAGGACATTGGTCTGGACAAAGATTTTTTGCCTAGGACCTCAAAAGCACAGGCAAATGAAGCAAAAATAGACAAATGGGATTATATCAAGCTAAAAAGCTTCTGCCACAGCAAAGGAAACAGTCAACAAAGTGAAAAGACAACCCACAGAATGGAGAAAATATTTGCAAACAATTTTTCCTATAAGAGATTAATAACCTAATTAATCTCTATAAGAGATTAGAATATATAAGGTACTCAAACAAATCAATAGCAAAAAAAAAAAAAATACTCTGATTTTAAAATGGGCAAAAGACCCAAATAAGCATTTCTCAAATGAAGACATACAAATGGCGATATAAGCAATAGAAAATGAACTAAGAAAAAAAGAAGGGAAAAAAATTTTAAGTAAAAAATAAGACATACAAATGGTCAACAGGTATATGAAAAAAGTCCAACATCATTAATTATCAGGGAAATGTAAATCAAAACCACAATGTGATATCACCTTACCCCAGGTAGAATAGCTATTACTAAAAAGACACACACACAAAAACAAACAAAAAAAAATGCTAGCAAGTGTGTAGAGAAAGGGGAATGCTCATATATTGTGAGTGGGAATCCAAAGTAGTACAGCCGTTATGGAAACTGGTGTGAAGTTTCCTCAAAAAATTAAAAATAGAACTATCATATGATACAGTAATTCAACTGCTGGATACATATTTTTAAAAAGTAAGATATTTCTTTGATATACTGCAATATACCCATGTGTATTGCAGCACTATTCACAACAGCAAAGATATGGAATCAACTTTTGTGTCCATCAGTGGATGAATGGATCAAGAAAATGTGGTGTATATACACAGTGGAATGTTATTCAACCATTCAAAAAGAATGAGATCTTGTCATTTTCAGCAAACATGGATGGAACTGGAGGATCTTATGTTATGTGAAATAAGCCAGGCACAGAAAGACAAATATTGCATGTTCTCATTCACATGTGGGAGCTAAAAACTAAATCTCATGGAGATAGTAAAACTGTGGTTATCAGAGGTTGAGAAAGGAAGTGGCGAGAGGGGAACAAGAGAACTTGGTTAAGGGATACAAAAATAAAGTTACATAGAAGAAATAAGTTCTAGCATTCAATAATACAGTAGGGAAATTATAGTTAACAATAATTTATTACAGGGCATGGTGGCTCACATCTGTAATCCCAGCACTTTGGGAGGCTGAGGTGGGCAGATCATGAGGTCAGGAGTTCGAGACCAGCCTGACCAACATGGTGAAACCATATCTCTACTAAAAATACAAAAATTAGTCAGACGTTGTGGCGGGCGCCTGTAATCCCAGCTACTTGGGAGGCTGAGGCAGGAGAATCACTGGAACATAGGAGGCGGAGGTTGCAGTGAGCCAAGATCATGCCACTGCACTCCAGCCTAGGCAACAGAGTGAAACTCCTGCTTAAAAAAAACAAAAAACAATAATTTATTGTATATCTCAAAATAGCTAGAAGAAAAAAATTGTAATGTTCCCAACACAAACAAAGATAAATGTCTGAAGTCATGAATATCCCAATTACACTGATCTGATCATGACACATCGTATACATGTGCCCCAAAAATATGTACAACTATTATATATCAATAAAAATCAGGATATTAATATTGATATAATTTTAAAAGAAAGTGAAAGTATACCTATTTGAAAAGGGTAAGGAGGAAATTCAAGAGACCCTTGTTGATTGGTTATCTTTATCCTAACATCTGCCAAGTCCTTAAAAGCATGAACACAGAAGAGTCTAAAGTGATCGCACCCAGAACGTAGCAACAATGCCTATGTAATAGTGCTTTGGGCCCGGCGCAGTGGCTCACGCCCGTAATTCCAGCACTTTGGGAGGCCGAGGCAGATGGATTAATGGAGGTCAGGAGTTTAAGACCAGCCTGGCCAGCATGGTAAAACTCCATCTCTACTAAAAAAATACAAAATTAGCGAGGCGTGGTGGCATGTGCCTGTAATCTCAGCTACTCAGGAGACTGAGGCAGGAGAATCACTTGAACCTGAGAGGCGGAGGTTGCAATGAGCTGAGATTGTGCCATTGCACTCCAGCCTGGGCAAAAAAAGTGAAACTCTTGTCAAAAAAAAAAAATAGTGCTTTGACAAGCCTCACATTATACAAGCCACATCACTAGGGACTTTATGAATATTGTTAATAATGGTGGCTCCATCAGTTGAAGTTTAAAAGTTTTTAACATAAATGACAGCAAATTCAAAGCCTTCCATCCTGAAATTAAAAACTAACCATGTACAATTACTGGTTCATTCATTTATAGCATTTGGATTTGATTTTTTAATGTTTTATTTTCATAAAGAAGTACTGGGATGGGCATGGTGGCTCATGTCTGTAATCCCAGCACTTTGGGAGGCTGAGGCAGGTGGATTGCTTGAGGTCAGGAGCTCAAGACCAGCCTGATCAACATGGTGAAACCCCATCTCTACTGAAAATACAAAAATTAGCTGGGCATGGTGGCGCATACCTACAATCCCAGCTACTAGGGAGGCTGAATCAAGAGAATCACTTGAGCCTGGGAGGCAGAAGTTGCAGTGAGCTGAGATCATGCCACTGCATTCCAGCTTGGGTGACAGAGCAAGACTCTGTCTCAAAAAAAAAAAAGAAGAAGAAGCAGAAGAAAAGAAATTCTAAGGATCAAATTATAGGGTTGTTTCTTTCAATTTTAAAAATATAACTGTAGTGTAAACTATTAATCAACTTTGTGCTTTCTGTATATATGTTAAAAGTCTAAAACTGGGCTGAGAACAGTGGTTCATGTCTGTAATCCCAGCACTTTGGGAGACTGAGATGGGAAGATTCCTTCAGACCAGGTGTTCAAGACCAGCCTGGGAAATGTGGCAAGGACCCTTCTCTACAAAAAAAAAAAAAAAAAAAAAAAAAATCTGTATTGAGCTGGGTATGGCAATATGTGTTTGTAGTCCCAGCTATCTAGGAGGTTGAGGTGGGGGGATCTTTTGAGCCCAGGAGTTTGAACCTGCAGGGAGCTATGATTGTGCCACTACATTCCAGCCTGGGCAACAGAGAGAGACCTGTCGCTAAAAGAGAAAAGAAAAAAAACAAAAAACTCTAATACTGTAACCCAAACCATTAAAACTTTGTTGCAATAGGAAATGGCTGTCACTTACAAACATTTTCTTTCTGTTTCTGTTAAGACTGGGGTAACATCTACTGTTACTGTTATCTGCTGCACAGTCCCAACAGAAATGAGGCTCACAAAGTAAATTGTAAATAGTTTATTTGCAACAAGTATTTCCTGCTGCTAAAGACTTATGAGCACCCTGTTTCATATCCTTGAGCAATTTGGAGATGATTAATCACCACTCCTGTTTAGAGGATGCAAATATAGGCAACTAGGGAAAATGCACTTATTGATATTAATGGGATTTAGTTCAAATTTTTTTAAAGTATGCAATCTCCCTAGTTATGGTGAGGCCAGAACTCTCAGGCCCTTTTGTTCCAAGGAAATTACTATGCCTTTGTCTTCATGCCTTTGTTCCTACTGTTTCCTCAGTCTAGATTCCCTCTCCCCTCCACTATTTCTATATCTATCAAACCCTATGCCACCTATTCTGTGATGCTGCCCTCCTGCCCCAACCCCAATTCAAATGATTCTTCCTTCTTCCATGCTTTCATAACTGTATACAATTGTCCCTCAGTATTTGTGGGGAATTGGTTCCAAGACTCCCTGCAGATACCAAAATCCATGGATGCTCAAGTCCCTTATATAAAATGCTGTAGTGTCAGAGGTGTTTGAACCAGAGCAACTCCACCTTGAATAGGGGCTGGGTAAAATAAAGCTGGGACCTACTGGGCTGCATTCCCAGGAGGTTGGACGTTCTAAGTCACAGGATGAGATAGGAGTCGGCATAAGACACATGTCACAAAGACCTTGCTGATAAAACAGGAAACCAGGTTGCAGTAAAGAAGCTGGCCAAACCCACCAAAACCAAGATGGTGATCAAAGTGACTTCTGGTTGTCCTCACTGTTCATTATATCCTAATTATAATACATTAGCATACTAAAAGGCACTTCCACCAGCTCCATGACAATTTACAGATGCCATGGCAATGTCCAGAAGTTACCCTATGTGATCTAAAAAGGGCAGGAACCCTCAGTTCTGGGAACTGCCCACCCCTTTCCCAGAAATCGCATGAATAATCCACCCTTTGTTTAGCATGAAATCCAGAAATAACAATAAGTATAATAAGCGAGCAGCCGAAGCCACTGCTCTGTCTTTGGAGTAGCCATTCTTTAATTCCTTTACTTTCTTAATAAACTTGCTTTTACTTCACTCTATGGATTCACCCTGAATTCTTTTGTGCAAGAAATCCAAGAACCCTCTCTTGGTGTCTGAATCAGGACCCTTCTGGTAACAGTAGTATCTGCATATAACCCAGACACATCTCATATACTTTAAGTAATCTCTAGATTACTTATAATAGCTAATATAATGTAAATGCTATGTAAATAATTGCTATACTGTATTGTTTAGGGAATAACGACAAGGAAAAAGTCTGTACATGTTCAGTCCAGATGCAATCAACCATTTTTTCCCCAAATATTTTGGATCCACAGTTGATTGAATGCATGGATGCGGAGCCCACGGATGTGGAGGGCTGACTGTGTCTCTATCTAGGCATAATGTTTACGTCCTTCTGCTTTGCTTTTTAATTTTTTGTCTCACACAGAATTTTACGTTTCTTTAGGACTGTGACCAACATATTTCTCTCTCTCTTTCTTTCTTTCTTTCTCTCTCTCTCTCTCAATACACAGGCAACATGAGGCTTTGCACATAGTAAACACACAGTAAATATTAACTGACATATAATAACAGCCATAATTCAGTCATTCAATAAGCATCTATTAAGTATTTCTGTGTGACAGGATTGTGCCAGACCTTGAAATTGGAAGGGGATAACAAGAATAAATAGGACACAGTTTAATGAAGGAGACAGCCATGCCAATAATATTACAATACATTGTGATAAATGCTCTGATAAAAATATGCAAAGTAGCGTGGGAGCACAAGGGAGGGAGAGACTAACTCTGCCAGGGGGAGTTCAGACAGGCTGCACAGAAAAGGCAAGCTCCAACCTTCAATTTAAAGGATGGCAAGACTCACCAGGTAGCAGGGGTGTGGTGGGTGTGGAAGGCCTTAAAACAAAAGCAAGTCATTTCCAAAAAGCCACAGAGATGTAAAAGGTATGATGGAGGGAGGGCTACCATCTGAGCATTGGCATGCAGCGGTGAGTACAGAGAGATAAGGCTGGAGAAAGGGAGCCAGATTGTGAAATGTTTTAAATGCCAGGCTGAGGAGCTTCACCTTGACCCAGCAGGCAGGAGATCCATCTCAGGTTTTGCAACAGGAGAAAAAGTAGGTCAGACCTGGGTTTGAGAACGATCGTTGGGTTTGAGAACGATCGTTGGGTTTGAGAATGAATGCCAGGTGGCTGGCAGCTCAACTGGCCACAGCGTTTGGCCACAGTTTCTGTATTCTGCCCCTGGCACTGGTGTTTCACTGCTCTCTGGAGAATTTCAAGCAAAGAATGATGAGTTCCCAGGAAGAGTTAATTCCCTTCACTGCTCAGACCAAAGCAACCACATTCTCAGAATACAAATTTACTTTTGCATACTTTCACGTAGGCAATCACAGTAAAAATAAATGCTGTTAATTAGTGTTGGTCTTAAAGACTAACAGCATTTAATTTCTCCCTTCATGAAATAGTATTGTTTTTATAAGGAGTCAGGGAGGAAGAGAATGGCGACAAGCAAAATATATGAATAAAGCAATCACGGTATTTAATTAAGTGAAAGTCTGCCAGCTGCTAGGAATAAGACCCCACAGCCTTATTTTGTTTGAATTTCAAATCATTCCTTCTAAAAAAGAGAGAAGAATGGTGCCTAGTAGTAATCTTCCTACACCCTTTACACACACACACACACACACACACACACACACACACTTTTAGCTAATCCAGATCTAAATGGAATTGTT